CGAATCGTTGAGTAAAAATCCGAAAGTTTGTTCCGAAATTATGCATCAAATTAATACCACAAATATCGATTTTCTATTGATTGATAGAAAAAATTGCGGTGAGTTAAAACAGATAAATTTTTAGGCAAAATTTAAATTTTCAGAAACGATTCAAAAGGAGTTCGCCAAGAATTGTGAAACGGGAAATCAGTTTTTGTTCATGCTTTTTATTTTCTTTTTTTCAATGTGCTAATTGAATAAATGTAGTTTTTGAAAATGATGAATTTCATATTCTGTAAAATCTTGTCAATTGGTACTTTTAGAAACGATACTTTTTAAAAACACAGGAATTCTGGAAATTCTGTAATTCTCAACATTCGAAAATTTAATATAATAATCCAAATATTCAGAGTTCAAAAATCCTTAAAATCGTACTTTGATTTCTTCGATATCCATTTTTTTTTCATTTTTCCCTGAAATCATGATTTCATTATCGCCATTTCTATATTCCACCTGCCTTTTGCGTTATCTGAAAAATTTCTTTCTGAAAATCATTTTTCTGAAAAACGAGACTCTTTCTCATATTTTCGATTTTCTTCTCCTTTCAGTGTTCAGATAAAAATTGGTTTCAAACAAAGTACTTTAGGAAAATGTTTTTCTGAAAATCATTTTCTTGAAACATGATACACTTTCTCTTGATCCCATTTTTCTACTCTATTCAGTGTTCAGATGAAAACTGGTTGCAGAAAAAGTGTGGTAGGAAAAAATCGTATATTTTTTGTTTTTCTAAATTGATTTATTTTTAGAACCATCATGCATATTTCAGCAAGGAACCTTAGATTCCAATAATCTTAATTTATTTCCAAAAAATTGTAGTTCCATTTGTGCAGACTTGGTGATTGATGCGGATTCCAATTTAACAGAAAACGAGCTTATTCCAACTTTCAAAAATGTAAAAATTATTTTTGGAACTATTATCATTTCTCGTACAAATCTCACAAGTCTCAAATTTCTAGCTGGATTAGAATCCCTGGAATGTGATGATATTGCGTCGGATCCGGACCTTAATAGTGGGTTTATTGATTTATTGATTTTTAGGTTGTATTTTTTTAATCCAGACCCAAAAAATGGTCTGAAGCTGTATAAGAATTTCGAAATGACGGAAATCGGAATGATCAATTGGACAAATACTTCGTGTAGTGTTCAAATTGAAATGTATGCCAACTTTTCGAATTTTAATGTTCCGAATTTAAAGGTGAGCAATCCAAATATGTGAAAATGTGAGAATCCAAAGACGCCTCAAAATTTTTTAAAACCTTGAAAATTCGAAAAAAAATGTATTTCAATTCCGAGAATCTCCAAACTTCAAAAAGTTGATACAACACTCAAAATTCGAAAACCTAAATTTCCAATTTTTCAGAACTTCAACTCCTCGGATCCGAGCAAACATGAAATTTATATACAGTACGATTATTTTGGAATCATTTCACAAAATTACGTTTGTTTTTCACTAGAAGAAACAAGCAACTTTTATGGTGCTGAAAATGTTGTAATGAGCTACCAAAACCAAAAATATTGTGATCATTTGAGTTCCACAGTTTTTGGTGAAAAATTGTGTAAAATACCGGAAAACGAAAATATCAAAAATTTGGAAGAAAATTGTCAGCGAATTTTTGGAATTCTGAAAATTGGACCTGGAGATGAAAATTTTGTTTACAAACTAAAAAATGTAACTTGGATTTATGGAAAACTGATTATCGAAAATACAACTTTGACAAGTATCGATTTTTTGAACAATTTGGAATTTGTGATAAGTTTTAACGAACAGTGTGAAACATCTTCGTTACAATTTTCGCACAATAAAAATTTGATGGAAATTAGGCTTCCGAATTTGAAGGTATATAATATTTATATTTTTCATAATATTATTTTTTAATATTTTCAGAAAGTGTTAGGAGAATGCAACCCATTTGTGATAACTGGAAATAATGGGAATTTTGCAAACAATTCAAAATTTTGTTGCGAAATTAGACATGTGTTATACAACGCTCCAAGCAATGTGCCTTATGTTGATAGGCAAACTTGTGGTATTTTTTTTTTTGATTTGAGAGCATTTTTGGAAATTAAAAAAAAGATTTTCAGAATTTATTCAAGAAAAATATGGAATGTGTGAAAATTCTGAAGGTTATGTTAATCTTTCGGAATCACTAATTTTTGCAATCTGTGCTTTTTTGTTGTTTTTTTAAATATATTATTCTGAAATTAGCATTGATCTTCCTTATTAATAAAACGCTGTCCGTCCTAATGTCCGTCTGTCAACTTTTGAAAAATTGAAAAATTAGGTTGTTCGGAAAGTCCTTTCCATTTTTAGCGTCAGATTCATTCGATATAAAAAAGGTCAAAACGATGTCAGATAAATTGAAGATAATGACCATTGTTAACAGTGACTATCTGCCAGCGTCCCACCAAATTTTGGATGCCTTCCTTCCAGATCTCCGGTCACAGCGCATTGAAAATCAGGTCAACCCATTTTAGACATCATGCTTTGAAGTGAATTTTTTTCAATCAAGATGTCGGTAGAAATGGCTGGATAGGGGGGTAGTCAGACAGTACAAGGTTTGGACTATACTGTAGATAAGACAGAACTGTTTAGCCGTATCCAGTGAGATCGGTCTCCGTTCTCCTTCCCGCATGAGGTTGCGAATTTAGATTTTGAAAATAAACCTTTGTGTTTCTCTCCAATGGAGATCCACATGGAGTCTGAGTTATGTCACCTAACAAAAATAGGTATCGGTCATAAAAGTGACACCTATATCTGGCAGCTCCCAATACTCCACTCTTTGGTAGTCATCCATGCCGAAAACATCCCATTTTTAACGTTAATTTCATGTTTCGGGACGTCTGGTGGTTGAGTGCCTTTGTCAACCCACTTGGATTGTTGTTTATAGTATTCATACATTACCAATTTATCGCCACTAGTAATGATTTAACAGGCCCACACATGAAACAAAGTTGCTTTGAGCGAAAAGGTGTGATCCATACCTTCCCACTTTTTTTACTTTGCCGAGAGTTCCCAATTTATGGCTTTTTGACGAAAGGCTTGCCACTGATGTACTTGATATATCCCGCACAGCTTGAGACGGGTCCCTTTCAATCCCGGTTTTTAACGCGTCCAAATCTGAGCCCGTATGCTTTTTTGGAGGGTGATTTACACTATTAGACCTCACCAGCATATTGATAAAACGACATAAATTATGAGGCACCAATGGAAACGTGAAAAGAGAATTAGAAGAATTTTAGAATCTAGAAAACATCTGACAAGGGAAGGTTTTTCAGACAACGGTTGAGAATTTGCTCAAAACTTGCATACTTATAGTTTAAGAGATGCTCTATACGATGACGAAAAATTGTTTAGCCCGTTCTCACTCACAGGCTGAAAAACTTTGTCTGAAAATTTTGTCCGATTTCTCCACGCAGCCGATTTCGGCTTCCCCTCCCTCCTCTACCAAATTCGCGTGAAAAGAAAATGTCGGTTGTGTGGTGTTGTGGTAAGAGGTGGCTCATTAGGAGTGAAGTTTGAAATTCGATAATTTAGAAATTCTAAAAATTAGAATTTTCAAAAATTAATTTAACCTGAAATTAAGTAACTAAGGATCTTAAATTCGTACTTTAATTTTTTCAATTTCTTTTCTCATCTTTCTGGAAACATGGTTTCATCATCGCATCAAAAATAACATCAAAAATTTGGAAGAAAATTGTCAGCGAATTTTTGGAATTCTAAAAATCGGACCTGGAGATGAAAAATTTGTTTACAAACTAAAAAATGTAACTTGGATTTATGGACAACTGATTGTTGAAAACACAAACCTGACCTCAATTAATTTTTTGAACAATTTGGGATTTGTGATAAGCTTTGACAACTATTGGAAAAGATCGTCATTACAAATATTGCAAAACAAAAATTTGATGGAAATTAAGCTTCCGAATTTGAAGGTATATATCTTATAGTTTTCATTATTTAGATGTTTTTAAAAATATTTCCAGAAAGTGTTAGGAGGATACAACCCATTTGTGATAACTGGAAATAATGGAAATTTTGCAAACTTTTCAAAAATTTGTAGCGAAATTAGACATGTGTTATACAAAGCTCCAAGCAATGTGCCTTATGTTGATAGGCAAACTTGTGGTAATTTTTTACAGTTTTTTTTTAACTTTTGAAAATCGTGTGTTTCAGAAGCGATTCAAAAAAAAAATATGGAGCGTGTGCAAATTCTGGAAATTCTGAAAGTTTTTCGAAATCGTTAATTTTTTTCAGTTTTGTATTTTTGTTTTTTTTTTGAATAAATTTTCAGAACGTTAAATAATTATTATTTCAAACACTCATTCAATCCAATTAGAAGCCCTGACAGAGAACTCAAATCTACACTCATGAGAAATTATTGTAAAATATTTCACGTTAAAGTTCTGAGGCATTAATGGGTACGTTGAAAGATCCAGAAGAATTTTCGATGAGTTGTTCGGTGGGCCAGATACTACTGTAGCGTTGCAGGGTTCCTGGAAATTTCAAGTTTTTTGAAATTTTGGGTAAAAATCAAAATTTACAGTATCCATGCGCACGTTGTCCATCAAAATTCCAACCGAGTTAAAATTCACAAATTCCACTGCTCGATTCCCCAAGAGGTAGAAATAATCGTCTGTTTGTTTAATTGCCGATGATGTTAAACTAGTGAACTGGAATTTTTTGAGTTTTGAATGTTTCAAAAATTCAAATTTTTGATAAACTTACAGGTGCCGCCTCAGAAATTGGGTTTAAAACAAATTGAAAGTATAATTCGTCAAAACTGACAATAGTCACAGATTTGGAAGTTGTGGTTAGGCGACTTTTGTGTAAAAGATCGTCCACTTGATAAACTTGTACTTGATTTTCAATTGTTCCATCAATGACGTAGCAGTTGGTGTAGCCATCGAAACTGTTTTGATCCGTAGCAAGAGTTACGAGAATCTGAAAAAATAATATTGAAAATATTGGATTCTGGTGAATCCAAATTCAAACCTTACCGGCTCAGTTCCAGTATAAGTCACTGAATTAAAAAATCGGGAACTATCCCCTATCGCTGTGACATCCACAAAATTCATCTCTCCTCCTGTTTTCATTTTTAAATTATCTCCAATTATCGCGGCATGATATTGTACAGTAATCTCAAATTGTGAGTTCATTTGAACACTTTTAGTGACCACTTGTACACTCATTTGTGATCCAGGTACCATTTTAAATGAGCGCAGAAAATCGGAACTGCTGAAATTTTTTTTTGAATTTTCAAACAATTTCAATATAATAACCTGGTGATTTTGACTAGTTTTCCTGTGGTTTCAGTGACTAGCATGAAATCATTAACGCCTTTCAGACCATTCAAAACTGTTACAACTGCATATAAGCCATCTGTAGAATTCGTGGGAACAGAAATCTGAAATTAAATAATACATAATGCTGAACATTAAAAATTGAGAACTTTACATTATAAACACAATTAAAATTGGCAGGAATTGTTTGCAATGAACCATCCTTGCCCGGAATATAAGTTGTGCTATCATCGAAAATTACAGAATCCGGAATTTGAATGCATTCTAAAATTTAGTTAAAGTGGTTAATTCGTCAATTAACAAACCTAACGCATTAATAGGGTTAATTGAAAATGAAAGAATGAAAAAACATGCATAGAAATATTTGTTCATGTTTGGGGAGAAGTGAAAGTGATGATTTTTTTGTGCACCGAATTTTTATTAGTGTAGAATATTGTTGATAAATGTCAACTGATAGAATTGTAATCATAATCATATATGTCGAGTTTGGTCAAAAATCATTAGCTGAATGAAACAGAAAGTAAAAACGTACTTTCAGTTGATTTGCGGCATGATCATTCACATAATTTTTTAAAAAATTCCTAGTTTTTCAGATATTCGTCGATTTCTGGAAGACCCCCTTTTTTGGTCAGTTTTTTACTGAATTCGTGAAAAAAGGTGTCTTTCAGAAGTCGGTCAATAGCTGAAAAAATAGGAATTTTTCGAAAATTTCGTAAATTCAAAGATTTCAATCTAGGTCTGTTTTACACCCTTCAAAATTTTTTAAGTGACCGGAGACTTGATAGCCGAGTTCAAGACTCCTGAAAATGGTCAAAATTACCAAAATTCAACTGAAAAACACATTTTTGTGCATGTCATTAACCGGTACTGTATGAATGCGAAAATTTTATTCAATTAGAAGATCGAAGGTAAACTCAAAATTACAACCATAAGAAACAACTGTAAGATATTTTACATTAAAGATTTGAGGCTTGGTTGGATTGGAATCAAGACTCAAAAGAACTTTTGATTCTGCGTTTGGTGGTCCATTTACAACTATAGCTCGACATGGCCACTGAAATTTGTTTTTTTTTTCTTTGTTTTTGGAATTTGAACTCTATACCGTTATAACCTTGACCACCTCCATGACAATTCCAACAGAATCGAAATTCACAAATTCGTAGGCATCGTTGTTGGTTGTATAATAAACTTCACTGGTATTAGTGACAGGCACTGCATATAGGTCGTCGAACTGAATTAATTTTTCAGTTTTAAAAACTTTTTAGAATCATGCATGTTCGAAGATTTCGAATTTTGGGAACTCCAAAAATTTAAAATATGAAATATTTTAGTCCGATGGGATGTTGCTAGTTTACCTGTTGAACTTCAGAAACTGGATTCAGGACGACTTGAATCACTTTTTCTTGCAAACTGACAATTGTTAAGTGATGGGCAATGGTTGTGAAATCTCGGTCTTTGTCCGGAGCGAAATCATCAACTTCATAGATTTTTCGTTGATTTTCAAATGTGCCATCAATGAAATAGCAGGTGTCGTATACATTAGAGTCGTAATGATAGTCAAACTCGGTTCCGGCAAGAGTTAAAACGATCTGGAATTTATTTTTTGAAGGTTTTCAAACTTGGTCACAACTTGGTCATTTTTTGAAATTCTTTAAATGTTGATTCAAACAGAAACTTCTAATTTTATTAGAGTTTTGACTTACATGCTCCATGGAAACATATGTCACAGAGCTGAATAAATCAGAACCATGATTTATGGTCTTCACATCCAAATAATTCATTTCCCCTCCTGTTTTCATCTGAACTTTTGGTCCAATCACTACACCATGATATTCTACTGAAACCGCAAACTGCGAATTCATCACAACGCTTTTGGTAACCACTTGTACACTCAATTGGCTTCCTGGGATCACTTTGAATGTTTCCACTTTATTTCCAGAGCTGTAAAGTTCTGTCAGACGTAGAATGATTTCAAAAGACTCGCCTAACAAGTTTTTGCTGGGTACCAGTGATTTTTTTGACCAGGATATAATCGTTTGCACCTTGCAAGCCATTTTTTAATGTCACAATTGCATAGATCCCATTAGTTGAATTAGTGGGAGCGGAAATCTAAAAGTTTAGGTTTCGACTGCGTAGCTCAAAAAAATCCTACATTATAAACACAATTGAAGTTTCCTGGAAGGGTCTGCATTGAACCATCACTTTTTGGAAAATTCACAGTATTTCCATCTCGAATATCAGAACTCCAAATTTGAGTGCAATCTGAAAATTGAACTATGTTTTTTGGAAAGTTGCTCAAATTTTTTAAAATCACCTAGAGCACTTGCATAAGGAACCAAAAGTAAGGTGATAAATTGAAAAGTTAAATTTCCCATTTTTTCCCGAAAAATTAGAATAAAGAGAAATAATGATGATGAATTTCTGGTTATCATATTTGAATTGGATCATAAAAATTGAAATTAAAATGTTAGAGTTTGGAGTGCATTGATAAGAAAAATGTGACTTGAAATCAGTTTAATTTTCCGGAACTTATCTGAGACGAAAATCAAACTTTGAAAACTTTGGAAATTTTCAATTTTTTCAAAATTTTGTCTAGGTCCCGACCTAATTTTTTCTAGGTCACGACCTAATTTTTGTCTAGGTCACGACCTAATTTTTTCTAGGTCACGACCTAATTTTTGTCTAGGTCACGACCTAATTTTTCTAGGTCACGACCTAATTTTTTCTAGAAAATTTTTTTCTAGAAAAAAAAATATTTTTATTCGTTGATAAACTTTCAAAGAAGTGACGATTTTGACAAAATTTGTTTGGAAAAGTGAGGATTATGACAAAAAAATGATATGAGAATTATTAAATTGAGATGTTTGCAAGGATTACAGAAGAAAAGCTACTCGGTTCAAAGAAACTACACAAAATAAAAAAAATAAGTTCAATCCAACTTCTGCTCCATAACATTTTCCAACATTCTCTGCGTTTCCGTTTTTGATTGAGTATACAAAAATGGGATAATTGCATTGTCGAAATCCTGGAGTATTCCGTTAACAGTGTAAAAAATTGTGAGCAGGTCTGAAAATCTGGATGGACCATTTTTCGAATAATTTTGTAGACAATATTGGAGAAGTAGGGATGAAAATAGTTTTTGGTAATGGCCAATGTGGTTTTGTCCGAATTCCGAAAAAATTGATGGTGCTGAAATATGGAAACTAAAAAATTGGATCCAACTTAATATTGTTCTTACCCGTATTACAAATCATTAGAGCACTTAAAAGCAAATATTCCTCATTGGTAATTTTCAACTCGCGTAATTTGGCAACCAGCGGACATTTTATTCGGTTAAGGATCTCTGGACAATTCTGATATCGATTCTGAATCTCCTCAGGTACTATATCCAGTCCTCCAGGAAATTGAGCAATCTCTTGTCGATTTACAAATGATCTCATTGCCAAACAAAAGGTCCCATGCATTCGATAGGATTGTTTCACCAAACTCATTTTTTCGCATTTCGACAGTTCTTCAAAAACCTCACATCGTTTTATGAAATCCACTGAAGTGCTGAAACACACCGCCACCCAGGTATCGAAATTTGGCTGGAAATTTTCAGGTTTCTCCGTGTAGTTCCCATTTTCCGCGAGAACTGAATCGTCTAGGTTGAAAGTCCCCAGAGGGATGAAATTCAGAAATTTGTCATTTCGATGGAACTCAAGGTATTTAAAATGATCCAAAACTTTTGAGAGGTCTGGACTGAAATTTTTGACGCATGGAGCCACTAAACCGGCTTGGAGACAAAGTTGATAACGACAGAATCTGCATTTTTGGCAGTTTCCATTTTTAGATGAGCAAGTATTTGGAATTTTGTCACTAGTAACGGCACGAATGAAAAATTGCTTGCAAGCATTACAGCAGTTGACCTGGAATTTATGAACTACAGTTTCACTCTACTTACCGTAATACCTGTAATAGACGGGTCCCTAACTTTGAGGCAATTTTTCTCGGTTCCTGTCAAAGGTATAGAAATGTGTCAACTGATAAAAGTTTAATGTTAACATCAAAAATATTTTGTCAATTGAACATTGTGTGTTATCCTTCACAAGAATCAAGATAACTTGGTTGAAATTTGAAAGTTAAGGGGCCCTTCTATTACAGGTTTTACGGTATCTGGGTATTTGTGAGAGATATCAAAAAGTGATCAATTGATAAAATGTTCGTCATAGCATCAAAACAATTCTGTCAGTTGGCCATTTTTTGATATCTTTCACAGGAATCGAGATAAATGGAGCAAAAGCAAACGCTATGGAGCTTTTTCAAGACTTACCCCATAATGAAATCCAATTGTTAGTTTTCCACATATTTCACAAGGGTATCGCATTTTTTGGATCAATAGTGAAGAATTAAGCACAAAAAATACGCGAAACTGACCAGACGAGATTAGATAAAATAACAGACTAGACACGTGCTGCCTGTTGCTCAGCGACACAAATAAAACGAAGAGACTCTGAGAAGTGATGTCTCGGTTTTGGTGAGAAAAGGAAAAAGAAAAAAAAATATTAATATGTTTTGTGCTCGGGGGGATTTATGCATGCGTTTTCTCATTAGGCTACACAAATTTTTCGTAGTCAAGTACACCATGTACTTGAAAAGATCACCAGGTGATTACAAAGTTTTTGTTCCGACTAGAAAAAAAAAACTTCCGGCTTGTTTTGGAAAATTGTGGATCAGAGATCAAAAAGTATGCGAAAAATATTGAGCGGGAAAAGCGGATTTGCAGTACCGAAAAATGTTAAATCGCTGAAAATGAAAAGTGCTGAAAATGAGGACAGTAAAACATCTTTATGTAAACCAAATAGTCATAGAATGGTCAAGGAGTCATCAAGTGGGCGGGGTAAAAGTGGGGAAAAGAGATCAGTAATTTAGTAGATTACCGTATTACCTTTGACTAATTTTTTCTATTCAAACTCAATCATTTCAATTTCTGGCAGAGATAGCTAAATTTTGTTGATGATGTCCTGACAAATGTTTTGTTAGCTGACTGAATTTAGATTTCTCTCATAGAAATTGAGTTAGTTGAGCTTGAAGCTTAAAGTACAAGGAAATATGGTAGGTGAGAAAAATTAGGATCAGTAACGTTTTTGAAACAGTTAGACAAGATAAACCGACGAAGTTGTTTGTGACTTAAATCACACTGGCCACCAGATTTTTGTATTTGACGTGGAAATGAAACTGGAAGATCCAGTACAGATACTGAACGTCTTCGAAGTACTTGTTGGTTACTGTACAGAGGGAAAGAAGTTCTGTGAATCGGGATGGTCCGTTTTGTTGGTAGGTCAGAAGGCAGTATTGCATTAGAGCTGAACTGTAGACTTTTTGTTGTTCGGTAAGTATTGAAACGGCGTGGTCGGATAGGCCATCGAGCACTGAAAATCGTTTTTTTAGAATTTAAAAAATTAGGCGTTCCAAACTTACCAGGATTGCAGAAGAATAGTACAGTAAGCAGTATGAATTCCTCATTAGTGATTTCCAATTCAATGAGCCGATTGACAAGCATACTTCGGACGCGATTCGTGAAATGGAGCGAGAAATCGGACCATCTGGAAATTACAAAACTACTTTTTCAAAAACAAGTTGATTCGAAAATCAATTAAATCAATCAAAATCCCCTCACTTTGACAAGAATTCCATGAAAAAATCCTTTCCGTCTGGCTTGATCATCTTATCATTTTTCGCTCTCATCGTTCGAATTGCACTGAACAACAGTGTAGCTTTAGCCGAGTAGTTGGCAAGTAGCAAAGTCTGAAATTTTTAAAAACATTGGTTTTTCGTTGATATACTTTTGAAGTGCACCTTGTCACGTGCCTACCTTGTCCCTCGTGCTCAACTGTTTCATGAAAGTGAGTCCTAATAGGAATTTTACGGCGGTATAGGCGCCGAAGAAACACCAATCGGAACTTGTCATTTCGTGTGTTGGGTCCTGAAAGTGATATATTTGAATTATATGAAAAATTATAGCAGTTTTGAGATATTTCTGTCGCGAGTCTAGCCGAAAGATAAATCCCCCAGACGTTTCAGAACAGAGATTTTACAGCAGGGTTGCGGAATGGCCGGATCTAAAACGTCCAGTTTCCAAATGTTCAAACCTACCCTGGCGACAATCGTCAACTGTTTTGACTCGATGACTTCTTCTAGAGTTGGATTTTCGAATGTAAACTGAGCCATTAGCGTTTTTTCTCGTTTTGCATCCTGATATAAAAGACTTTCGATCAAGGTCGCCACTGCATCATCTTTGGAATTTTTGACCTCCAAAACGGTCGATAAATTTAATTTCATCCCGACTTTTAGGCATTGAACAAGACGACATGCACGACAATATGGAGCTAATAATAAAATGATGTCTAGCGGCTTGTGATGTTTCATTTTTTCAGAAAAACTATGTTCAGTGTTCAACATAGAGCATCATGAGCATAAACTCGTAATTCCAAAAAAATCTTAAAAATTTCAAGAATTTTTCAGAGTACTGTAATAGAAAAGCTTCCTACCAATACGGGTGGCCTGAAAAAATAAGAGAACAGGTGAAATGATGGGAGATTAGATGGTAATAGAAGGCCAGACAGGTGGTTTTATGGGCAATTTAGAGAATTAGAATTTTCTCAGTAAATCGAACATCAGATTTTCATTTGCCTGAGGAAGGGGGTCTAGACAGGGCACGAACATTTCTTTTTTGCAAAAATAACGATTTTTGGAAAATTATCAACTATCAATTTTCGTTAATTTTTGGTAAACGTTTGGTAAATGAGGTTTACAAAAAATGAGAAACCGTGAAGCCTGGTTTGAAAGGGTCCCTTCAATAGAAGTGCACCCTGTAGTTGAAAGGTTTTTACTGAAAAATGTACCGGGAATTCCATAATTCAACAGAATTTCGTTGAAAAACTATGTTTTGATTAAAAAATTGCTCAATTTCGGTGAAATTGATAGATTTTCATTAATTTTGAACGAAAATTCGTCGAATTTTTTAATGAAAAGATTCGGGAACAATGGTCGGAGAAATAGATGGGTCCCTCTAATAGGATGAGGTTGGAGATTTTGGAGGAAGGATCGAAGTACAGTTTTTGGAATTGAGCGAATTCGGAAAATTGGGAAAATCGAAAAAAAAATAAATTTTTATGGAAAATTTTGTCGAAAATTGGTATAATCAGGAAAATGTGAAAAAAAACGAAATTAAAGAAAATTCGGTATCTTATTCAAATAAAGTTTATATTACCGAAAAAACCTGTAATAGAAGGGCCTACACACTGTCAGGTTTGAGATCAATTATCTCGGTCCGCATAAGCGACATCGAAAATTTGTCAACTTACAAGGGAAGTGTTTTCAGAGGGGCGTTGAGAATTTTCTAAAAATTTCAGTACTGATAGTTTGAATTATCCGCAACACGATGACAAAAAAAATCTAGGTCATAGTATCATCAACAAGCTGAAAATCTTCGTCTGAAAATTTTCGGTCGATTTCGCCCTCTCCTTCTCTTCACTACGCCCCTCTCTCCTATACGCCCTCCGCACCAGGGAAAAACATCGGTTGTGGGTGTTGTGGTAAGAGGGAGACTCATTAGGAGTGACTATGGTGGTTCGAACCCCACTGTGGTAATTCTTTTTTTTTTGTTTTTTTCGAGACGAATTTTCGATATCCATTTTGGTCCCCTGAATAACAAATTATACTTATTTCATGAATTCCCGACGTTTTCAAAGTGAAAAAGAAGGCGTTTGAAATTTTGAAGAAATTTTTAAGTATTGTTTTTTTCGACTTGTCCTATCGCCCAAAAGCATAACTTTCGACTCTCGGAATTGCTCCGTCTTGCTCTTTTTTGAGTGGAACACCAACAAATCTATCACCCAAATGATCTTCATATATTTCTGTGTATTCCGTGTGATTTCGAGCAATATTTGAGAAATTACAGTTTTTCAAATTTCTTGCAATTATCAGATTTAGGGAATTATCAGGGCTCACATACAAAATCGAGCTGCCAAATATTGTGAAAATGATGTTCCTATCATTTCTGAATGTTTGAAAGACTTTTTTGCACTTTCAAAAAAATTTCCAAAAAATTACTTTTGAAGTGTGGGGTACCCCATGATGATTTTTTTCAAAAAAAAATCGAAAAAAATTTTTTTTTAATTGTTCTAAAACTATTTCAGATGATAGAGAAATGATCAAAAAAGGGTGTCCCGCTTGAAAAAATCCTGGAAAACGAGTTTTAAAGCTCGAAAAATGCACGTTTTTAGTCGAAATTTAGTACTGAAAACACTTTGAGAGCCCATATTTTTGTTCCTATTAGGGTTGTGACCGAGATATTGCTGAAATCGTATTCAGCGTGTTCGAAAGTACCTTTTTACAAATTTTGAGCAAATTCTCAACGCCCCTCTGAAAACACTTCCCTTGTTAGTTGTTGACTCAACTAGTAAAATATTTTTGATATTATGATTATTTGTCAGTTGACCACTTTTCTTTATTTTTTACAGGAACCGAGATAATTGAGCTCAAACCTGACAGTGTGAGGGTCCTTCTATTACAGGTTTTACGGTATTCAGAAAGGGACCACACGTCTTACTGGGTAACAAATTTTATAATATCTGGAAACATCCATGTAAGGTGCTGCTAACGGCTTTGAATGTTTCAAATGAACCGAGATAAACTAATTCAAAGTTGAAAGTCAGGGGTCCTTCTTTTACAGGTTAAAAAACGAAAATAAAAACTCAAAATGAAAATTCCGAAAGATCTGAATTTTTTCAATTTTTAACGCAAAATAATAATAAAAAACAAGCTTTTCCAAAAAAAATCCTGAACTTCAACCCAAACTTCGGATTTCAAAAATTTTTCAAAATTTTTCAAACAGCTGATGTCTTCCGTAAGTCCATTCTGACCGAAATATTCGCATTTTCCTGTTTTTCTCTATCTTCTTTTTCTCTTTTTTGTCATTTCTCAAACGATGCGTAACACCACTCATTATAGTGCCTTCTAGTCTCAAAAAGTCATAAAATATTTCACATTTTTTGACATGGGACATCATAAAAATGAAATTGATCTATGGGATTGTAAAAAAAGGGAAGAGTGATCGGGAAAACAAAATACATTGTTTTTTCTTTGGGAAATAAAAAGTTTTATAAATTTCATAAAAATCGAGAAAAATGTTTTTAGAAAATCAGGAATAGAAGAACATGGAAAAGGGGAAAAGTAAAATCATAAAAGAAGGAAAAGTTCAAATCTCAAGATTTTATCGGGAACAAAGACCTTGGAAAATCGAGAGAGGAGGTTTTTGAATGTAGCTTGGATGTTGTGGCTTGGAGTTTAAGACGGAAAATTATGAATATTTGGAAATATTTTTGAGTTTAATGTTTGAAAGTTTGATGTTTGCAAATTTTTGAACTTTCAATTTCTCTATTTTTTCAGAGCTTTTTTTTATTGAAAAGCGGTTGAATTCAAATTCTAGAACAGCATTACTGAAGTGTTTTCATTCGAAATCTTTGAAACACTCATTCTTATGATGATTAAATAAATTTGAGTCTCTTTGTCACTTTGTCCGCACAATTTTTGAAAAGCCAACAATTGAATATAGATTTATGTGACTTTTTGAGGTATATAGTAAGGTGAGCAACGAACCAGTAGTAAAATAGGTCAAATCGCGCCGAAGGCGCACCAGCCAAGCGTCAGGAGGTTGGTAATATGAAAAATTGGTAATATTTTCAAGGAAGCAAACTTTGATTCAAATTTGAAACTTGGAAATCTTAGATACATGAAAAATCTATGTTTTTGAGGTTATGAGAAAACGGAAAAAAAAGTATTCTAGAAAATCTGACATTCTGACTTTTCGAATTTTATCCCACATTCAAAAAATCTAAAGTTTAATCTCTCGTCGCGAAACAAACAGTCCAAAAATCATGAAAAAATCTAACAAGGAAGGAGAAGTTTCTAAATCTAAAAATTTGAACAGCTGTCTAAATCCAGATATTGTCCAAATTTCAAACGTCAACCCACCCAACAATTGTATTTTCGTTTTGTTTTTAAAATAAGTGATGTATTTTTTTCCAGAAGAATGACGCATTCTGTATAACTATAGAACAACTTTGAGATATAAAATTGTCGGGCACATAGTTTTTGAAAGTTATTTCTTCATTGCTGTGACAATATCAGAGAGTTAGAAACACAAAAAAGATCAAAAAATCTGCAGCACACCCTGTTACAAAATATTTACAAAATAATACTTGACAAACAAATTTATGATTATTCAGATCAAATCATCACCCGGATGTAATAATGACGAAAAAACAGAATGAATATGATATGCCACGGCGCCTGACAGCCGTTTTTTCAAGTGGCCGATAGTGGTTTTTTACGTTTTTTACCTGCCGGGCATGAAAACCAAAAAAATCCAGAAAAATTTCCATGTAAGAAAGGCGCTATGATGTCGTGGCCTAGGTTTCTCACTGCGCGGGAATCCAAATCCCATTTTTGGCGCAATAATATTAGGAAAATACTTATTTTTGAACATTTTAAGACAACAGAAATTTTTGGTAGGAGTCCCTCTTTAATCGTCATTGAACTCAACCGTTGAATGGACAATCCCTAAAAAATCTAATTATTTCCAATTTTTTGGTCATCTGAAATTATGTTCGATAGTTAAAACTTGATAAGTTTTTGCTATAATTAATCACCAATCTTATCTTAATGAATCCCGTTTGAATTTCTTATTTTTTAACTGTCGAAATTTCTTCTTTCTTCACCATCCTCTTAACAATTGAATGGAAGTGTGTATTCCTGTTTTAATGCCATTTCAGTTTTATTTAGCTACTATTTTAGTTATTCAGATATTAGCGGCAATATTTAAATTTGAAAAGAACGTTTGTTGTACCAACAGGTGATTTTTATGTCAATAACGTAAGATCAAGCTATTTGTGACATTTAAGCTGGCTAAAATAGTCTTACAATAACAATTGGTCAAAGCCACCAAAGTGTGTTTAGCCCTGCTCTGAATAATTATCATGTTGTTTACTTTTTTCGTTGGACAGTTTGAATAATTTGCAATTCTCTCATTGCGGATGCTGTAATGATATTTCAGTTTACGCACAACACCACAAATGACTAAGTTTCTTGATCGCATGCTTTCGACATTTGGAAAAAAAATCACCTGTTTTTTAATTTAAAAAGTCACCATTTATTCCTATGAATAAATTATTGAAACTGATTAAGAATCCACCAGTCATAAAATCAGAAACTCGTATTTCCGTTTGCATAGAGGGAACTGCTCTCATTCAGTTCCCCGACACTTAACGCAACTAATCATCGCTCTCTCTCTCTCTCTCTCTCAGTTATCTGATTAAGTTTGCCAGGAATCCAAAAATGAGTTCCTGTGCTGAAAAATTATTCCCGGGCTTCAATAATGTTGATTTTTTATGCGGGTTTTACGTTATACTTGAGTCAGTTTTACAACTGTTTCTTCACTAATACAAATTGTACACTTTTAGGCCGATCACTGCTGTTGCTTATGACAGTAATTAGTTTTATTTTACGCACAATACCACAAATAACTGAGTTTGATTGTAGATTTTCGACATTTACAAAAATCACGTGTTGGTACATTTCTTCCTATGAATAAATAAATGAAACTGATTTAGAATCAGTCAGTCACAAAATCAGAAACTCGTACTTCCGTTGAAGCTGATTAAACTCCTATTATCCTGTTCATTGACACTTATGTAACTTAAATAGTCGTTCACCCCTTTATCTTAAAAATATCTCATTGATTAAAAAAGTTTTAAAAACAGCTCTCATCCATTAATCTGATTTTTATTCCAGGAATTCAAGAAAATGGGTGACTGCGCCGAAGAAAATTTCCCAGGTTATAGCAATGGTGATTTTTTATGCGACCTTTTAGAAATATTCGAGTCAGTTTAACAACTTCCCACCAATTATGTTATTTGTTGAATTTTAGAAACATAAGTGAGGCTGCTTATCGCAACGACATTTATATTGCTGCACCATGTGCGATCGTCAACATTTTCCATTTCATCATTCTCACTAGAAATTCAATGAGGGTTTCTTCAGTGAACGTACTCATTGCTGCCGTCGCATTCGCTGACATTTGTTCTCTCATATATCCAGTGGAACTGGTTATAAAAGAAGTATAATATTATTACAATCCGTGTTTATTCTTCGGCTCTTACTGGGAGCTCGTGCTTCAGCTCAAGCTTGATGCACTGACTAAATGCTCAATCAAGTGCTCCACGTGGTTTTCGTTTTTTGTTGTTCTCATACGAACTCTAGTTGTACGAAATCCATTGGACTCGTTTTACGAAAAGCTGACAAACCCATCGGCTGCATACAAAATCATATTAGTAATCCTTTTGTTGTTTTCACCTATTTTTGCTGTACGAAATATCGAAAGAGAAACATATGCATTCAAAATAAGTACAAGCAAATGCGCTCCTAACGAAACCGTTGTTGTGTATGGCACTATAAAGAATGAGGATTTTTGGCAAATGACAGACAAATTATGAAAATAGTTGACCCCGTGGACTCGATTCTATCAAATGTAAGTTATTTGCTTCAAAGGACCAAAAACCAAAGAATTTCCAGATTATTCCGTGTGTCCTTTTCCCAATCGCTACACTTTTTTTGGTGAGAGAGATTTGGAAATTCAGCAAAAATCAGCAACGAATCGCATCCTCCAGAAAAATGTTTGAATCACATAGGACCACAAAAATGGTTTTCTTCTTCGCGGTTACATATTTCATATCTGGTTTTCCTTGGGGAGTCCTCTCAGCATTAAACCCGTATTACATTGGCGGGATACCTTTAGTCGAATCCATTATTACTTGTCTTCTTTGGATCTTCGGTTCCGTTTTGATTTTAAACACAGCAACTCATTTTTTCGTTTGCATGATGATGTCAACTGAATACAGAAAAACAATGCTTTCAGTGATTCGGTGTGGGAAAGAGGTAGTTGAAATGTTTTGAGAAATAAAAAAAAATTAACATTCACAGAAATCCAGCGTGGGAGTTGTTGGTGCATCTTCAAGTGTTGTGGTATCATTCTGATTCTGAAGCCGTCATCTCGATCGCGTTTTTTGAATAATAACGGCTCGTGATCCCTAATAAATCAGCCAGTTCAATTCTCCAAGTAACGTGTTCATCAGAAACCTCAAAATATATTTTCCCTGTTTTTCTGTTCCCTAATGTTTTTTTTTCATTTTTCCCGACTTTCGGATTATTTTTTTCGTATGGATAGTCCAAAGGTTTGATTGTTATAATGTGGAAAAAAGTTCGAAAATTCAGAATGTCAAACTTGAGGAAAATTAACTTTTTAGTATTCCCATGACCTCAAAATAATATTTTGGCATTAATTCCAGATTCTTCAATGGTTTTCATTCAGGAATTTCGAAAATCTCTATATTGTTCTCAATTTTATCTTCCTCATATATAAAACGCTAGAGGCGTCTGTCCGTCCTCGTGTCAGTCTGTCAACTTTTGAAAACCTTGAAAAATAAATATAGATTAACGTTGCCCTTTTAGAAAAAGTGAAGAGCTAAGCTAAGAACCATTCAAAACTAAATTGAATCGCGCCGAAAGCGCACCAGCTTGCTGGTTTCAATAAAACAATTTTTTAGATTCTGACGTTTTGGTTCAAAACCCCCAACCAAAATATTTTTTCAGACATTTTTGAGTCTCAAAAATCCACATTTTCGTCGTTTGTGCTCTGACTCAATTTGGCTATAACAAGCCATGTATTAGAGATTTCGTAACATTTCCGATTTTTACGTTTTTTGAGTTGTGTGCTAAACATTATGTGCTAGATAGATCAGATTTTATTTGGAATTCAATTATCTCTTGTAAAAAATTTCTGGGACTTGTTTTTGGAGAATTATAAGACAAATGAATTTATTTCACTTTGAAAATATTTTGGGGTCAAAAAGTTCAAACCAACTCCTCGACAATCGTTTTAAATTGAATTGGGACACCTTTCCATGACAATTTGAACACCATTGTCAGGTACTGTAAATCTTCGAAATTTCTTTGAATAATTGGACAAAGGGATAAAAGGTCCGCGAATCTGGATGGTCCATTTTGTTGGTAAGTATGTATACAGTATTGGAAAAGAGTGTCAGTGTATTTTTGTTGTTGGGAAGAGACGATTGAACGGGCGTGGAAGTTGTCGGGTTCGTAGAATAGGGCTGGAAAATGTATAAATTTAGAAAAATGAGATTTTTTCTGAATTTGGAGATTCTGAGATTCTGAGTTTTTGAGATTCTGAGATTCTGAGATTTTGAGATTCTGAGATTCTGAGATTTTGAGATTCTGGGATTCTGAGATTTTGAGATTCTGAGATTCTGAGATTTTGAGATTCTGAGGTTCTGAGATTCTAAGATTCTAAGATTTTAAGATTCTCAATTTCTTAATTTCGAAGCTATATAAAATGGAAAAAAAACTTTAGAAGCTCGAATACCAGAAAATATAGAAAAATACATTCCTGGAAAATTTTCTGACTTCCCTAAAATTTTGAAATTACTCAAACGTCCAAAAACCGAGATATTCAAAATCACAAAGCAAATGTTTCTGAATGTGTTGGAATTTTAAATTCTCCCAGACTTCATAGTCGTTTCAGGAACTTCGCGAATTTAGAAATTTCGAAATATAGTTGTATAATTTTCGGAAATTGAAAAGTTCCAAAATGAAACTCTAGGAATTTCCGAACTTCCTAACTTCTCCAGATGTCTCACCCACCTGGATCACAAAACAAAATCACACAAATCAGAATGTATTCTTCTGTAGTCACACTCAATTCGACAAGTTTTGAAACCACAAAACTTCGAATCCGGTTCAAAAAATCATCAGCTCCTTCCTCGTTTTCCAAAACTTTTTTCATCTCATCCGGATAAATATCCTGTCCATCCACAGTAATCATTCGGTCCCGTTTCCCACGATACGTTCTCATTGCTCCGCCGAAAAGTGAGCATTTCGAAGCCGAGTGTTTTAATAAGATCAGCTGAAATTTTTTTTTGATTTTGTAACCAATTTTTCTAGCCGAAAACCTTCTCAGATGTCTCCAATTCCTGCATGAAATCCAAATTCAATAGAAAATCGACGGTTGTGTAAAGTGCAAAAAACGACCAATCCTGAGGACGCAGAAATTGGTTTTTGGTCTGGAATGTAATTTTTTTGGATTTTTGTGCTTGATTTGTGATTAAGGAAGTGGTGAAAATGTAATTGATCGCAGGTACACGAAAAATTAACCAAATTTTGGGGTACATAAAATGTTCTATTGTGAGCAAAAACAACTCATGGAGTTCAAAAAAACAGAACAAAACTTTGGAAGGAGTGTTTCAGAATTTCACGATCTCAACATTTGGAATATCCTAAAGCCAGGATCTCAGAATTTTCAAATCTGAGAATCTCAGAAGCTGAGAATCTGAAAATCTGAGAATCTGAGACACTCAGAATCTCAGAATCTCAGAATCTCAGAATCTCAGAATCTCAGAATCTCAGAATCTCAGAATTTCAGAATCTCAGAATCTCAGAATCACAGAATCTCAGAATCTCAGAAACACAGAATCTCAGAGCCTCGGAATCTCGGAATCACAGAATCTCGAAATTTCAGAATCTCAGAATCTGTTAATTTGATGAACTTAGAATTTCCGAACCTCTCAATAGAACCTTTAAATTACCTTTGTATAAACGTTCAAATCCTTCTTCTTGATCATTTCTTCCAACGACGGATTCTTCCCCGTGAAACACGTCGCCATAACATTGGACCGATGTGAGTCCTGATACAGTAATCTCCCAATTATTCCAACCATTTCCATTTCTTTTCTCATTTTCAGCTCTAAAATCTGTTTTTTACTCTGCTTAATCACATATCGCATTCCAAATGCCAGACATCTCTGGTATCGACACGATTTACACTTTGGACAAATTTCAGACGTCTCCGTGAAGTCTGTAATTTACTGAAATTATGGCGTCTGAAAATTCTGAAAGAACCTGAATAACACGAGTTCTCATTTGAACATTCATACTCCAACTTCTCGGTGACAACACGACGGAAAAACATTTTACAAGCGTCGCAAGTTAGCGTCTGGAAGAGTTCAGGTGTTCTAGGCTACAAAAAGTTATTCTAGGCCATCAAGTACATCTGACTTTTTTATTAGGATTTGTATGCCCTGTTTGTTATTCAATATAGGAGATTAGGGGGCGGAAAAGGCCAAAAATTCAATATTCCTGTGGTTTGATGCTAGTGGAGATTAATCAGTTTTATTCTTTTTGTGATGTGTTGGCAGAACTCAAAGAAACAAACCAGAAGCTACAGAAATATATGGATTCGTGAAAAATGTTATTTTTAGATTTTGAAATGAAAACCTCAAACATTAAGATCGGATGATCGTCTGTAGTTTTAGCTTCCTGGAAATCAGGAAATCATTTTTTGTGATCGATCAAACTATGTCAAAAGTTCATTTTCAAAAATAGAAACAACAGTAAGTATTAGTTTTTTTTTAATTTGAATTTAGAAATCAAGAGTTTCAGTATCGGTCATAAATATATCATTTCTTGGTATTTTCAGCAAAAATGGTAAACTTTGGAGTTAAAAAAATTAGCTCAGAATTTTCAGATCTGCCAACATTTCTCAGAGAATTTAGGCAAATCTGAAAATATTGAATTTCTTGGACTCCAGTGGAAAAATCTCCTTCTGGAAAAAATTCAAAATAAGATACCATCCTCTAATAGAAGCCCACTCAAATCGTCAACTTTAAGCGCATAGTCAGTTATTTCAATTCTTTTGAAAAATACCTGAAGCTTGTTAACTGACAAATTAATTATCATAACATCGCCAATATTTTATCAGTTGAAAATTTCTTATTCTCTTTTTCACAGGAACCGAGATAATTGAGCTAAAAGTTGACGTACAAGGTGGGTTTCTACTTGAGGAAATACGGTATATTTTGTCTCGTAATGAAAGAAAAACGAAATAAGGAAGTTTTCATCAAATTGTTTAACATTTAACAATTTAATCAAAATTTAACTCACCCCATAGTTCTTACAGTACGCCGGTCGATAGCAAATCACACATTTTCTTGGTGGAAAATACACAGAATTTGGCGGAGGTTCTGGAGACTTCTCCGGAGAGATAAGTTCAATTTTCCAGTGTTGTTCGTGCTCCATGTTGTTTCACAGCACTGAAGAATATCAAACTATAAATATAGTGGGTGTTAGAGGGGCGGAGCGACAGAGAAGGAGGGGGTGGAGCGTATTGGTCATAACTATGTGTATTCATGATAACTAGACGTATCCGGTCTGATCGAATAGTTATTAGACATGATAAATTTTATGAGGTGACATCTGGCAGATCAAAGATAAGGTGAAGAGAGGAAATAAAACAGAGAGGGGTTTACTGTAGAAAATTATAAGAAAAAATGAAAAACAGAAATCGAATTTTGAAAATTTCAGATTTTCTTGGAGTGCCTAATATTTGTAAAAATTTACAGTTCAAAGTTGTATGGGAGTTTCAAAGGAACTTCGTGGAACTAATTATTTTACTGAGTTTCGGGGTTCATGATTTTCCGGAATTTTGAAGCTTTTTCATTCCACAAAATCATTTACGAAAATTTTCTCAGATTAAAAAAATCTAAGAATATTCCTGCTTATCTGAACTTCCAAATTCCAGATTTTCTGAGAATTTTAGTTTCTGTAGAATTTCTGAATTCCCAGAAAAGTTTTCAGATTTCATCTATCCAAAACTTTTGCCGAATTTTCTGGAGTTTTAAATAATTTCAAAACTCAAAAATGTTATAGTAGCAATGTTTGCAATAATTTTTCATACTTTTAGTTTCGTTGTTTTTTCTGGTGTATAAACCTTAAACCCCAAAGTCGCTCCGTTTTCGTCTTGGTGTCCAATCATTTTGTCTCATTCAAAATTTATGAGAAATTGAAAAAAAAACCTCTTGATGTTCCAGAATTTTTTATAGCTATGAGATTTTAGAGTGTTGTGTTTCTGTAAAGGAGAAATTAAAATTTTTTAAAGGATTTTTTTCGATTTAAAACACTTTCTGAATATTTTCAAACTTTTTCTGTAATTTCAGATATGCATATAATGTTTTTTTAAAATAATAATAATAATTTATTAGATTCAGGACTATCAGTCACTTATAAAATCAATGTGTTACAAATTAAACAAATGAGTTAGAAATTATGTTCGTCTAGGAACAGGAAAGAAGATAAATTAACATGACTTAAATTAGTTTTAAAAGAGATGGATGAAATTAAGGGTGGGAACACGGTTTTTGGAAGCGAGTTCCAGCAAGATATAATACGGAGAGTAAGAAATTGAGCAGAAAGCTTTGAAGCATTTTTTAATGTACAGCGAATGTAATATGGGTGGCGTCTTAGATGATTATGAGGAAACGGGACAATGAATAGATTATGGGCAATTGCAATTTCCCGGGAAACTAGAGTTTTACACATAAAAACTAGATCGGAAGAAATTTAACTTTTTTAGATACCAGTAAAGCCACGCCTCCGCCATGTCTACTACGGTCTTTACGTAAAACAGAGTAAGAGTTAGATTTAGATAAAAGAGAATCAGGAAAACTAGAATCTAATTTATTTTTGTTAGAGCGAAAATGATGTCTAAATATAATCGAATTTTCCGGATTTCAAAAAGTTCCGATACACATCGAAATTCAGAAATCCAGGATACCAAAAACTCAGAAATTCAAAAGTTCAGGAACTCGGGAGCCCAGTAAACTTACACTTCCGGAACCTAAAAAATAGGATTCAAAAATTTAAAACTTTGAATATTTGGAAATTCAGAGCTCGAAAATACAGAAATACAGAACTTCAGGAGTCCATAAATTCAGGAATCTAGAATTTCGGAGATTCAGGAATTCGGAAATGCAGAAGTTCAAAAATGCAAAAACTTAGAAGTTCATGAATTCAGAAATTTCAAAAATCAAATGTCCAGAAGCCCAGAAATCCTGGAATTAAAAAATTTTATTCAGGAACGTAATCGACTGTTTCGGAGATTGAGTATTTCGGAAATTCGGACATTTTGAAGTTCGGAACTTTAGAAAATCGAGAAAATCCAGCAGTTCGAAATGTCTGAGTTTCTGTCCATCTGTTCATCCAGATGTCCGAATGATCAACAACATGTTTTCCATTTCGTGACTTGTCGGAAACTTCCCATTTTCAGCAGCTACAAACTACTATAATTCTTAATTTCGCTATTATTCATTTCCGTTTATCGTCAAAATTGATCACACTACTTTCTTTTTTTCAGAACTTTATCACGAAAATTCCTGGTATGTAATTTTCTTGGGATTTCTAGTTTTCGTGCTCAATATTACTTTTTTGTGTCTATGAACTTTTCAGATATATTTTTAATTCTTTATTTTAACGGAAAATTTTGATGAAAACAGAAAACATTGGCAGGAAAGAAAAAGAAAAAAATTTTTAAACAATTTTCAGATCTACAGATTCTATTTGATATTACAGGGCTCCCGCAAAACTTTTGGGATATAAATACCCAAATTTTTTTGTTTAATGGTCTTGTCCAGCTTTTTCATAATCGATGCTTGTTTATTGAGATTTTCTCCAATCGCAAGTATTTTTCCGAATCTTCCTGGGCCTTCCAGTGGATCCCAAATCATGCATAAATAGAATAGCAGCTTCGTGGCAGACCTTTGTTGTTCAGAAATGATGGATTGAGCTGATAAGGAGAGTCCGGCGATGCCTGAAAGATTTCTTTGGAAATTCTGGGTTGTGAAGCCTCGGTTTTACTAGATTCGAAAATTTTGTTTTTATTTACCAAAATTCAGATTTTCCCATATTCTCAAATTTCTAAAATTTCCAATTTCTGGAACTTTAAATCGAAATTCTGAGTTCTTGAGATTCTGGGACTATGAGATTCTGAGATTCTGAGATTCTGAGATTTTGAGATTCTGAGATTCTGAGATTCTGAGATTCTGAGATTCTGAAATTCTGAAATTCTGAGATTCTGAGATTCTGAGATTCTGAGATTTTGAGATTCGGAAATTCTGAAATTCTGAAATTCTGATGAGATTCTGGGATTTTGAAATTGTGAGATTCTGAGATTTGATGAGATTTTGGGATGTTGGTATTTTCTGAAACATTGGTTCTGGAGTTTTGAAGTTCAATGATTCTGTAATTCTGATTCTTAACTTCATGCTTCTAAAATTCAGAGGCATTTCATATTTTTTCAACTTTTAACACATCATCAAAGCAACATGCTCTTTCAGAGATTAAAAAATAAATGGATCCAAAAAAGGATGACAACAAGTATTTTTAGATTTTGAGAACAAACATCATTGAATCAGAAAAATGTCTAGAGAAAATGCCATGTTTTCCAGTACTTCTTGGGTGCAAAAATTCCGTTTGATTAGTTTTCTATGAAAATAGAATGTCGAAACTTAATTTATGTTTGGGGAACTAGAAGTCTGGTGATATGATGATAAAACTTTTTTGTTGAAAATCTGAAAGTTCAAAATTTTGGATTATCCAAAAATTTTGCTTCAAATGTTTTGAAAGTTATCAGATTCTTTTAAATTCGAACTACCATGCAAGAAAAATAAAAAACACAGACGATCATGCAAGTTCATGGCACTACATCTCATTTTACATGCTTATTAATTTCAAAGATTATCATGCAAAATCAAAAATAAAAAATTAAAGATAGCTGTTTAAGAATACAACAAATTCAAAAGTTTTATTGGTTGAAACAAAAGAATAATAAAGAGGAAAGTTATTTGAAATCAAAACATGAATTGAGTTTTTCATTGCTCATCCTTAATTTCCATTTTCACACGAGGCGGTCGATTATAGTCCAGATGACAGGCTTCGATCAATACCCCAGCAAAATAAAAATCCGGTTTCCAACATCTCCTCATCGCATGCACGACTTTATTTGTGACTTCTTTCTGTCGTTCCAACTTGTCCATAATGGCCAAAATTTGTCCATATCTTGCCGGTCCTTTCCTTGGATCAGTGGTCATACAAATTTGAAAGAGTATTCTCGCATAGGCTCTTTGCTCGTCGGATAGGATCTCACGACCGGATGGAGAGAGTCCGGAAAATGCTGAAATTCGGGACAAAAAATATCACAAAGACGGATAGAAAGGGAAGGATATAAGACAAGTTACGGGTTAAAGGACAGATTGATAAACTAATTTTTCACAATGAAATACGAGAAAAACAATCTGTAAGTTCAAATATTATAGTCATTTTAAATGGAAAATCTTTAATTTTAATTTCCCAGAGACATGAGATTAGAATAAACTTTCTAATTTTTGAATTTTCATAACTGAAAAAGTGAACGGAAATTTGAAATTCCAGTTTTTTGAGTTTTCTAACTATAGGAAAGTCATATATTCGATGTTTAGAAAACTAGGCTTTTTTACATTTTTCAAAAAGATGAACTTTCCAAAATTAAAAATTCAAAAAGATCTGTAATTCTGAAATCGGAAATGTTTGTTATTTGGTCCTTCTAGTTTTCAAAAATATAAATAGGAATTCTTGAAAGATCAGAATTTACAGTTTTTCCAGATCCTCACACTCTCAGAATTTCACAAATTAAACATTCAGAAAACTTTGAGAGTTCTAGAATTAGATAAATCAAAAATTTCGAAACTTCTGATTTCCAACTGAAAATTTCTAATTTCCAACTGACCCGGATCACAAATCATGATCATATTCAGCAATAAATACTCATTCTCTGTCAGGTTCAATTCTAAAATCGGTTGCATTGGTGACTCCAGAAGGTCCATTATAATCTCATTGCATTCTTCAATTTCAAATAATGCCGATGGGAACATTTCTTCGCCGTTTGGAGCAATCACTCGTCCTTTTTTGGCCATGAAAGAGTCAAATGCAATTGCCAGATGATGACTTTTGAATGCGACGTTTTTCAACAAAATCACCTGAAAATTTTGGATGGTTTTGATTTTTTTTTTTGGAACAAATTCTGAGAGATATCAAAAATGATCAACTGAGAAAATATCTATCATTTTATCAAAAAATTGGTCCTCTGTTCACCATTTTTTATATCTTTCAGAGGAACTGATAGTGAGATAAATTGGCTTTCTAGAAAACGTCTCAAAACTTACTCTATCAGAAAGTAACAGTTTTTCGTAGAAGGGCATTGCTTTTATGATTTCTACAATGAGTAGAACTCCCAAGGAACCCCAAGGTTTCAATTTTCGCTCGGTTTTCTCCCATTCGATCGGTTGCTGAAATTCTAGTGTTTGTTTTATTTTGACAGACAGACATTCAAAATTATTGAATTATGAAAAATTGAAGCTCACAATTTCAGGCATTCAGTAATTGGAAATCTGGTAGTAAACAATTTTTAAAAATTGGAAGTTCAGAAACCCGAAAAATCAGAATTTCTTTAAGTTCAAGTTAAGAACTTCCGAAAAATTTGTAAAACAAATAAAGATAAAACATTTCAAAAATCATGTTGATTCCAATAAAGCAGAGTTTAGGAATTTCTGAACTTCATTGGAAACTCTTGAAAATTCGGAAATTACTTACTATTTAGAATTTTCAAAAAAATTTTCAGAAAGTTGGGATATTCTGAAAAAAAGGAATTGTGTGTAATTCAAGAATTCAATATATCTGAAAATCATAAAGTCGGAAATTCAAATTTTCAAAGCTCAAAAAAAGAAACTTCACGAAATCAACAAAAAAAACGAACCGGTCTTCGATATTTTGACAGGTTGGAACCTTCTAGAACAAGATCCAAAAAACTGGGATCTTCGCAAATATTGATTGTCAAATAAACTTCTTTCCGGGTTTTATGCAAAGCAGTCATTTGTTGAAAAAGTGTAGAATCCACATGGGCTTGAGTGACAATTGGTTTTTGAACTACAGCCAGTTCAATAGATTTTTCAGAAGTTGGCGACGGAATAGAAGCTGGAGCTGCTGGTGATGTGACGGATTCGGAATCAGTCGATTTGTGCTGACGCATTCCTAGTGCCACGCATTTTTTATAACGACATGCTCGGCATCGTGGACGGTCCTCTTCTGGAAAATATTTTCGAGATTTTTGATTTTCCGATTTTTTTTTTGAAGGTTCAAATTTCTGGGAACTGAAATTACTGAAATTCTGAACTTGTGGGATTTCTGGCTTTTTGAAAATTCCGGAACTTATGAGTATTCTGTGGGTTTTTCACTGATTTGTGTATTAGATGATTTTTCGACTTTTGTATTTCCGATTTTCTGACTTTCCAAAAAAATCTGACATTCTGAATTTCCAGAAATCCATAGTTCGGAAACCCCTGCTTTCTTTCAAATTATTCTCATAATCCTAAACTCTATCTCTGTCTTACTCGGAGCACAAAATCCTACGAAAAGCTTCTTTATTTTCCCCCTTCTCAGTTAATCTCCAAATGTTCGTAAAAGTATTTTAATACGATGTGTCACAATTTTTTGGTTTCGGAGTTTGTGCTCAACACAAATATATTATTGTTATTTGAAAAATAAACCGTTTGATCGGACAGATGCAGTCTGAAAGGTGAATTTACGTTATCTGGAAATTATCAGAAAGTCAGAAGAGTCAGAAAAAGAAATGAAGTTATAGAGGTGATGCCTGAAGAACACGGAAGTCTGGAATCAAATACATACTAATCCCTTTAGACTTGATTATTGGATTAAGTTTGATTTAAAACGTGCTTGAAAAATGTGTATGAATAATTTTCGTGTTTAGTAGCTGACAGCTGTTTTTTTTTGTAAACGTTTGCACCCAGTAATCCGGGAATCCGGAAAACCGAGAATCTGAGAATCTGGTAATCTGGAAATATGGGAATCCAGGAACCCAGAAATCTAGGAATCCAGGAATCTGAGAATCTGGGAATCTGGGAATCCATGAATCCAGGAATCAAGGAATCAAGGAGTTCAGGAATCCAGGAAACTAGGAATGCAACTTTTGAAAACTGGAAATCAGAAAATTATAAGTTTGAAATTTCAAAAACTTTGGAAATTCAAATTTGAAAGAGATAAAATTTGGAAGTTTCCTATCCAATTTCGTTATCCCGAATCTTTCAAAACTCACTTTTCAAATCATATTTCAAATCATCATAACATTTTCCTCCCTTTTTACATTTTTCGTCCACTCCTTCGGTGTTTGATCTTCTAAAGAACATTTTGCACGCATTGCACGAAACGACCTGAAGCAATTTTTAGATTTTCAGATTAGTCAGATTTAGTCAAGTTCAGGAAGAATTTGATTTGTAGAAAAGTCCAAAAATGGGAATTTCTACGAATTTTCGAAAACTACGATTTTTGATTTTCAGATTATGGGAAATCTCTGAAAAATTATGTAACTGATTGGAAAAAAAAACTGGAATGTCTAATTCTTCAATTTCCAATTCAAAGATATTTCTCAATATTTCAGTTTTCCAGATCTCAGAAAAAATTTCAAAATCCTAGACTTTCAGAATATTTCTTTTCAGAAAATTTCGAAACTCACATCATAATTGTACCCAAACGCTTTGTTATGACAGATTTCACAAATTTGGGGTCGTTCCGAATTGGTTATCATAAATGCAGAAAATCTGAAAATTTGAAAAAAAAGTAAATTTTGGTTTTTCCATTCAATGAGAAAAGGGAGCTCAAAAATAAGTAACGTAATCACAGATCTCGAAAACACCTGTCTAGAAATTTCGAGTGTTTTTCTAGACACGTTTTCTGAATATGTTCTTGATGTGCCAGCAGATCTCAGAAAAAAAAAGTGGGCGGAACTTGTAGTCAAGAGAGCTAACAAATATTATGCAGATTAATAGTAATGTCCGAGCTAAGTCAAAAGCAATATTAGAAAAAATGGGCGAAGTTGGGAATGCTTCCGGAGGAAATGGGATGGGAATTTCTCCTGGTTAAGAATACAATTGAAAAATTCGAGGGAAGTTAAAAAATTGTCTGAAAAAAATTTGACAAATTTAATTTTAGGGGAAACATCTGTGAGTTCAAAAATGACATTTTGTAGCGAGATTTCATGTTTGGCACGGATTTTGAATTAGCTGAAGGTGTCAGAAGAGATGCGATTAGAAAAGGATGAGCAATGTTTTTAGAGATCTGGCACATTGGTTTGAGATTTTGTTCAAGAAGAAGAAGACGTCAGGAAGAAAAGAGATCACGGATATTTTCCCTTCTTTTTTGAGAACTTGGTAGACATGGGATTTCAGAATTATGTGTCTCAAGAACCAAAAACAGAAAAAATAATTTGAAAAAAAACTTAATTCGATGGAATTTGAAACTTTCGAAACTCTCGAAAATTCGAGAGATGATGTTTTTTTAATTGGATTTGTTGAAATGATTTCACAAATATGAAACATGTCAAAAATGTCATTTAAAAGTGAAATGATAGAAATTCTGAATGTCCAAGTTTCCGAAAGTCCCAATTTTGGAATTTTCTGAAACCAGAAAATTTATTAAAACCTTTGAGTTTATTTTTCTTATGGATTTTGAATTTTATCCGGAAATTTTGAATTTGGAAAAAAAAGGAAAATTTTGATTACATAAAAATCTTGTTGTCAAAAAAAAAATATGATATTTGGTGCACTATTTTGATTATGTAATATGCGTTATTTGGCTGTAAATACATTTTTTCGTTCTAGAATGTTCCCGAAAACTGTCCAACTTTTTTCACAGAACTTTCCAATTCTCGAATTTTGGTCCTAACCTTTTTTTTTTGAAACTGGCGTCAAAAAGTGAAGAGATGTTTGAAAACAAAGTGGAAGTCAGAAAGAGATCTTTGGAGCCGAAGCAAAAAGTGATATTTGACCTGGGAAAATTATTTGAAATCGACCGAAAAAATTGCAAATGCACCGGATGAAGTGATATATTGATGGTAGAAAAACCAGAAAGATCAAACAATGAATCAGGGCCGCGCCCGTGAATAGGTTGCTGTGGACCAAACCGTGCGTTTGTTGGAATATAAGCGCGTACAATCAGAAATTTCACGAGCCGTTCGACGACCGAATTCTACCCATCCTAGAAGTACCCTAACCGTAGATTAGCTTATTTGTATTCTAGAATTCTTGGAAAAACTGGAAATTCTGAGTTCTGGACTATCAAATTTCATTAATGTTTTGGTTTTCAGTAAACTTTTAGATGAAGTTTCAATAATTTCCTTTTTTCATTTTTTTTTTGAATTTCAAAAACTTCTTCTGGCATTTTATTTTTACTTTTTTTACATGTGTGCATATTTGTTTTGCTTTTTCTGAATTTTGGATCATTTTCATATTCATCTTTTTTGTATCTTTCCTGATTTTTATTGAAATATGAACCATTGTTTTCACCTTTTCCCCATCATTCTGTTCAAATAAAATTCAAAAATATTGTAATCAATAAGCGCAATCAGATGATTATGTGTTTTGGTTTAAAAAAATATTTCTCCTATATATATTGTCCCAATCTGCACAACAAATTCAGCCTAGTCCCAAAGATTCATTACGATGATCTCTTAAAAAATTTCCGGAATTTTCATCGAAATTGGATTCGCACTTGGCCTTATTTCCAACTTGTTACTCATCTATTTAACCCTTTTTCATGTCAAAAAAGTGACAGGAACCTACAAAAAAATGGTCATTTTATTCTCAACTATCAGTATTTTGCTACACTGGAAATTACGGCTCGCCCATTTTCCCATAATTATAAGCATTTTCTGGTGTTTTTAGCACAAATACATGAATCTAAGGATTTTCGGCTTCTTTTAGTTGCAATTTAGGCTGGATTTTATCTTTTGGTGGTCGCTTTTATCAGTGTTCAATTTTTCTATAGATATTTCTGTTTATTCGATGACACCAAAGCAAAAAAATTCGATGGATGGAAATCAATGTTTTGGATGGGATACCCGTTTGTGCCAGCTGCAATTTATGGTGCATCGTTTTATTGGTTTTGTATGCCTGATGAGTATTCGGATCAATCGTTGAGGTGAGTGTGCGTTTTAGATTAATGGTGGCTACGCAATTGAAGAGCTCAGCAAATGCGCTTCCAGTCCAAAAACGCTTTCAGTCCAGAAACGGACCAAAAATGGGGGTCTTTTCGAAATCGGCGAACAGCTTAAAACCTGGAAATTTTCGAAAAGTTCTGTGAATGCAAAAATTTTAAATCTAGGTCTGTTCTACGGCAAATAATTCGGAGGGTACAACAATTTTGGGGTCATTGGGGTACTGTACGACTCACTTGTTCGCTCGAACATCTCGATTCGATCGTTTTCATCGGTTGAGTCTTCTTCTTCTGACCGCGGATCGTAAAGCGAGCAACGACTTCTGCCAGGCTTCATGGGGGCTCTGAAAATTCTCTGAATTCAACGCTTTTATGGTCATTTGACAAAAAAATCCCTCGATATTTTGAGCGATTTTTAATATATTTTCTAGGCGGTTTTGATGCTTTTTTGATCAATTTCCACCTCAAAAAACCTGTACTTTTGTCGATTTCTCTCA